GCTGCTCTCCCAGGCCCGGCACACGGGACGCGGCTGCTGCGTGATGAGGAACCRGCAATGTCCCAAGGCCCGGCAGCAGAGGTCTTTGCAGCACAGTCCTACTCATGGCATGGTTTTGGAGCAAACGCTTTGCCTTGCTACRCACAGCTGTACGTGAAGAGATGCTCCCTGAAGCCTGGCCATTKCTTAAGAAAATAAAATTAGATTGGAGCATCCATCACTTGGGATAAGTGGCTCATTGCAGGGGCAGGTGTGCAGCAGGAGGCAGGACGTGGTGTCRCCCGCAGGGACGGCAGCAGATTGCAGAGTGCCCGGGGGGAGCCCGAGCCCATGGAGCTGCCCCAGCTCCGGGCGGGAAGGGYGGGATGCGTGCAGGGCTCGGCTGCTCGTGTACAGGTGCTCGGCATGCTGCAGCAACGTGGGCATGGGCACGCGTGTCCCCTGCCCCTCAGCGTGGGCCTTCCCGCTGCCCCCTGCTAGGGCTGGAGCTTTCTGCACAGGGATCCCRAGCTGCTCCTGTCCGTATTCAAAAATCGTCACCTCTAATGCTCGGCTTTAGTTAGCTGCTCCTGTGGACATCCCTGCCAGTAACTGCCCGGGTGACGGAGTCTCCTCTTGCACCAGTCTCACCTCCTGTGGCACTGAGGACATGGACTGTTCCTAATTCACCTGGAGAGGGATGGTGGGAAAGCAGGAAGCAGAATATGTAGAGCCAAAGCAAGTGCACACCGCCCCCTCAGAAATAAATGTTTCCAAACTAATTCTCTCTATTTTCAAGAGAAGAGAAGGGAAGATGTGTTTGCACATAAGCAGGCTGCCTGCAGAGGATGCCATAATGATCCTGGAGCTCCAGTGTAAATCACTGTACCAGGCAGATGGGAATGAGACCTTTCAACTCCAGAATGAGGCACTGGGGAAATAATACATCTTTACCTGCCCTAGCAATCCTGTATCCCTGCAGGCTGCCCTGCTATCCCCGCAAGCACAAGAATGAGAAGGAGCTGGTAGGGAGAGCAGGCGGCAGCATTAACATTCTGCTCTATTGTTTTGTAATTATTAGCAGAGAGATTGAAAATGTAATTATGATAATTAAGCTAAATCACAATCTTCCTGCAGGAGCAACCAAATTATTTATAACAACTTTTCATCCTAATTCCCTTAACCGTTCCCTGCCCGCAGCAGCAGGAGCCCTCGCAGCTGCGGGCTGCCCAGTGTCCCATGCCAGAGCTGGCAGCTCTTGCGGGCACTCACCAGCATGAAGTAACTTGGCTTGAAAACGGGACGGGAAGGGAGCTGTGCGGGAGGGAGGTGGACACTGATCCCCAAGGTAGGAGAGTGGGAGTGTCAGGTCTCTCCTGGGTCACTGATGCCTCCCCTGCTCCRCAGCCTGAGCCTGGCAGGGACAGATCAGAGCTGAGTTGTCCCAGGGGATGTTACCAGGGCCAGGGAAACTGGGCAGGTGCACAGACCTTTGCTCCGGGGACACGGGGCTGTGACGGCAGTGCCACCCGCGGGGCACAGCATGGGGGCCCTTGCCCAGCACCTACTCTGCTTTTGCTGCTCTGCTCTTGCTGTCGTGCAGCCCCCTGAGGCTGGGCCAGGCCGCCCGCAGCCCCCGTCCCGGGGGGCTTGTGCCCAGGTGATGGAGACATGAGGAGGGACAGAGGGACATGGCTGGGCCCAGGCTGCAGCTGGAGCACAGCAGTATGAAAGCCCAATGTCTGCAGCCAGGGCTGATCTTATCCTTTGGCTTTCAGCTCCATGCCTGGCCAGGGCCTGCCCAGCCAGCAGCCACCTGTGGCATGGCAGTAATTAGGGGGTAGAGGTGGGAATAAAGTGCTTAATTAGCAGGCCCTCCGCCTGTTTCTTGTGCAGCTTGGTGGGGGTGCAGCCCAAAGGGGGAAGGCTGTGCTGGGACCCAGATGGACTGATCCTGCGCCCTCCAAGGGGTTCTGCAGGCACCTGGCACCAACCCTGGAGCGACCGTCCCCAGAGCAGTGCTGTGAGTGCAGGAGAAGGGGTGCAYGGGGTCTGGGCACCGCGCTTCAGCTCGCTGAGCGCTGGCAGGTGCCTCTTGGAGCATCCTTTGGGTCAGATTGGAGCGTTTTGCAGCCTTTCCCCTGCCTCCAGCCCCTGCCGGTGCTGAGCAGCGCGGTTCAGCTTGCGTCTGAGGCCGGATCCTGCAGGGATCCTGACGGTCCAGCCTGCGGCCCTGGGCCGGGCAGGAGGGGGTCCGTGTCCTTCGTTATATAACCGTCACTCCCGGTGTTTTCGTAGCGCTCAGCCTGCCTGCGGGGCCGCGCTCCCCGGTGCAGGGGAATGTTTGTGCAGTGAAGAGCTTTGATTTCGTGCCGGCTCGCAGCCACGTCCAGCCCCTGCGGCTCGCGCACCGTGCAGGGCACTGCGCTGCCGTCCTCCCCTTGCAGCCCTGGGGAGCCAGCCTGTGTCACCCTGCAGGGCCGGGCGGTGACACGGAGCCCTGCCCATGAACTGACCTTGCCCGGGCCCCCCGCTGCCCGCCCCGCGACCCTGCCGGCCTCCTCCTCGCATTCCTATCCCCGCACATCATGCGCCCCGCTGCCGGGCAAACAGCGACCTGCCGTGCGCGGAGCCGCTCTCCCCTCGCTGCAGGGGCCCAGGGTCGGCAGGGGGAAATGCTCCGACAACAGCTCCTGGGGGGCAGGAGGTTGGGGCTGCTCCCGGCCAAGGCTGCTCTGTTCTCCTGGCTCCAGCAGAAAGTGGCGCAGAGGAGGAGGCGTGCCTGGACAGACTGAGAAGTCCTGGGTTTGCTCTGGTTTGCACGCAAGTATTTCTAAAAGCCACCATTTGAGAGCTTGTCTGGCTCTAGGATCTGCTGGAGCACTGGGAAAATTGGAGCTGCCGCCTGCAGGGATTGGAGCCCCTGGGACACGTCCTCAGCTTTGTTCCTTCCCTCTCTGTCTGCGCCTCCCCATTAGGAAGAGGCAGGTAAAGGGACAAGTCCTGTTTTGAGAAGTTCTCTTCCTTCTGCCCCCTCTTGAGGAGGGTCTCATTCCCAGGACACGTCCTGGCTGTGGGGCCAAGGGCATCCTCAGCTCCAAAGCCTCCAGGTGGGAAGGCAAGGGGAGACATGAGGAGCAGCCTTGGGGACGGGCTCCAGGCTGAGCCCCAGCACTCCTTCCTGCAGGAAAGCCTGGCTCCCAGTGGCTTCCTCATGGGACTCACAGCGTGTGCACGTATTGAAGGCGTCTGTAGCTGGTCCGGGGGCTGGAGCTGGGCWGTATGCAGGTTACTGACTCGTTCACAGCAGGTAACAGTTTAGGTTGTTGACCTAAACCTGGTTAGGTTGTCCTTGACCTGGTGATGTGATGCTGTCCTGTTCAACCAGGCCTTGCACCAGGCAGCTGGAAAGACCCCCTTGGTCAGCGGCTCTTGCAACATCCCTTCTAGCAAGGCAAGGGGGCATCTGCTTTGTGCAGGATGTCACCAAAATGAAATGCAAACAAATCTGAACCTAAATCAGTACCTCAGTCCATGCTATAAGCTCTTTCAAGACCTGGCTCGCAATGTTTGACCAATGGCTAATTTTTCTGGTTGTAAATGGTGTATTTTCCTGTTGTGAATGAAGAAGATCTAAGGACAGGGGATGAGCATGCCAAGGGCAGAGAGAAGCAAGAAGCTGCATGTGAGGTTCWCAAACCTTCCACTTTTGAGTGGCTCTCCCCAGCTTCACCAGTGACAAGCAGAAGCAAGTCTAGATGGGAAGCAGCGAGTCTGCAGTTTACCAGCAACTATGCAAASTCAACAAATAGCATTAATTACGAGAACTCTTTTTGCCTAATCTCTTTGCATTCTGGGAATTGTTGATTTTTGCCTGGAATAATATCACACTGAATAACCAGGATACACCCTGGAAGTCTTGGGCATTCTCTGTGCTTCCTAGGCTGACTTGCCAAAGTATCAGYCCCTAGTGCCCCGTTCTGAGCCTCTGCCCCATCCACCTCTGCAGCGTAACCTCAGCAGGATTGCTGTCTTTCCCGGTACTGTAACATTTGACACGGTGCTTTGGGGGTAGTTTGCTGCATGCTGTGTGCTAGGCCAAAGCTGTGTGGAGTTTACGTGAGCTCAGTGCTGCTGGGAGCCCCTGAGAGTGCCTGACCAGAGGGCAGAAAGCAGAGCTTGCCGAGCCTGCGGCTCAGGGACCAGGCAGTGATTTATGTCAGTGCTAGATAGCACTGATGGACCTGTAATTCTGCAAACATCTGTTCTCACTTTCGCCTTCACTGCACACAGCACAGCATACCAGTAGAGCAATTAGGCTTTGCTCTTGCTCTGCAGACCGGGCCCTGGGAACCAGCGCTGGGGAGGGGGTTTCTGGACACTTGGGAGCGGGTTTGCAGAGGCTGCTTTGCTCTCTTTGCAGCCCAAGCACTTCAGCTGCATCGGGGTCTAATTGACCCTCCATTCCCAGTGTAATGTGAGCCAGCACCCATGCATGGAGCCTCATCTGTGGGGGAACCTGTCTGCACCCCCCCCCCTCCATTCCATGGGGGAATCCGTGCAGGGGACTGTGGCTGTAGGGGTGACTGTGGTGTAGGGAGACCAGGCCAGGGTGGGCCCCAGCACTGAGCAGAGACCACAGTCCAGCCCGCGTGCTCCTCGCCTAAGCCCTGCCGGCGCAGGAAGGGTCTCTCCACAGGCAGCAGAGGCGGCCTGTCCCACGGCGGCTTTCCCAGAGCCTGGCACCGGCCTCCCCAGCGCTGCTCCCCGCCAGCAGTGCTGGAGCTCAGAAAGAGGCTCCTTGCTGCAAAGAGAAGGCTCTGCCTAATGGGGTAGCTAATGCTCTGCCCCCTAGGCCTCTCACTCCTAAGGCAACTGCACGGTGGCCGTGCCCAGGATTTGAAGTGCAAGTGGTGTAGACCCTGACTGCAACCATTGCTGCTCTCCTTTCAGCTCCAGCATGTGATAAAACCATTTCCTTACTTCTGCAGGCGTGAAGGCTCTTCTGGAGAGGGGAAAGGCATTGATTGAGCTAATGCCATTAACTGCCTTTAAGCACACATGGAGGAGGTAAAAGCAAACACCATTCTGTCATTCGGCAGCTGGTGGTAGGTCAAAAGAGACTGTGAATTCCAAGGTTTCGAGCTGCGGGTCTTGCTCTCAGGGCTGCCTTATCACTGTCTTCTCCCTGTGCCTGAGGGAACGAGCTGCGGCAGGTGGATTTGGGCCATTCCATGATTCCCAGCACATCCAAGTTGTGTGCTTCAGTCCCCCAAGCTGCACCGCTTAGAGACTGGGGGAAATAATGCAGGGTGACTTTCACTGGGGTTTCATTCTGCCCTTGTCACCTGCCTTTGCCCTTGGACGGGAGGGCTGAGCACAGTGTCCCCACTTGGGTTTCAGAGGGCCCCCACTGAAGGGAGCTACTGTGCGTGTTGCTGGCTGGCGCACATCTGCTTGCTGAGACTCTTGGGGACAGCCTGTGTGGGGACTGTAAATGGGCAGCCTGGTGGTGCTTAAATCCATCAGCAGCCGCCCTCACCTGCTGCCTCTCACACGGGCAAAAGAGGCACCTGCTYGAACAGGTCTCCCCTCTTTCACCACGGGGCCCTTCCTGTGCCAAGAGCCCCCCTGTGCCTGGCTCTGCAGGCTGACTCACGCTGAGGCAATTTTAAAAGCTTCTTGCTGGTGCGGTGTCCGATTTTGCAATGTGTTTTAATGAGGTATTTACAGCTGTGGAGGCTGTCTCCTTGCACAAGGAGCGTGGACTGGCCCCGGCAGCTGTGGACAGAGGAGTGGCCAGACCTATTCATTGACATTCCTGCGACTCACCTGATTGCAGCACGTGCACGGTGGAAAACATTCAGACATGAGAAATGCCAGCTTAATTATCTCCTAATTGATACCTCCACGCGGGGACGAACGAAACCGGAACGTCTCTGCCGCCCTGGGAGCCTGCCACTAACAAACAGATTTAGAGCTAAAAATAACGTGGCTGTTGTGTGGCTAATGAACTCCAGTGCCTACCCAGGGTTAGGTTATGAAATTGTCTTGGGCTGGCAGGGGAGGCAGCGAGGGACCCCATGCAGCCACTTGCTGCAGCGTGGGCTGCTCCGAGCAGAGGCCGGGCACCGAGCAGGGGCTCTGGGGCACTCGCAGCGCCCAGGCAGGGGCAGCTGCTGCTGTGCCCCATGTGTCAGCCCCACGACGCCGGTGCAGCCCTGCAGCTCGTGAGCGCTGCCTGCCCCAGGGGCTGCTCCCGGGGAGGCCGCGGGGCCGCGCGGTCACAGCGTTTCTCCAGCCCGCGACGCGGGCGCGAGGCGTCGGGCACGTTCCTGTCATTAGGGAGGCAGCCACGCGGCGCTGCGTGTTAGAAGAGACCTTAAGTGCCCGGGACATTTCTCCACAGTGCAAGACTTCTGGCCAGCCCAAGCATCACGTTTGGTGCCTGCGTGGGCCCTGCAGCTACCGCACACCTCRGGATCCCTTGCCCTGCTTCTCTTTACAGCAACACACACAAAAAGAGGCCAAAGGGCCACAGTGAGCCCAGTTCTTTTAAATTATTGTCATCTTTATTCTTTTTTTTTCACGTATGTGCAAACAGAGGAGATCGCAATGGTGGTGTTCTTAAAAATAACAAAATGTATTTGCATACATTTTCCTATGTACAGGTGAACAGCCACAGGTAGAGTCTTCTTTTGCACAGCAAAAGATCTAGAGCATTGAGACGAGGAACAGGAATGGGGCCCAAAAAAGGGTCTAAATTAGAAATAATAATAATTAAAAAAAAATCACAACAGTGCAAACCTCTCGGACATGACAGCACGATGGAGTGACTTTAATGTAGAAAACGGCCAGTCTCCCCCCTCTCGGATGTGAAATTTCTAACTGTAAACAAGGCGCAACACCTCCCCCCCGCCCCCCTCCCCCGGGAAAGCTATTCCAGGAATTTGGCAGATCTTCAAGGGCTGAGCCGGAGGTAAACAGCCCGCAGCCGCCTCCCGGCCCGGCCCGGCCGCCACGGCGCGGGGAGCGGGACCCGGGCGGGCCCGGGAGCTCCCGGCGGCACCGCGCACCGCCCAGGGGCCGGGGGGACCCGGCGGCTCCCGCGGGGCCGAGCACCCCCAGCGGCACCGGGGGGACCGTGCGCTCCCGGCGAGAACCCGGGACGCTCCCGGCGGCTCCGCGCACTCCCGACGGGAACCAGGGGGGACCGCGCAGCCTCGGTGAAGCCGGAGGGACTCGGGGCGCTCCCGTGGGGCCGAGCACCCTCACAGGCACCGGGGGGGGGACCGTGCGCTCCCGGAGGGACCCGGGGACGACCGGAGGGGACGGCGCAGGCTCCGCGGGGCCGCGCGCTCAGCCGCTCTCGGGGTCGCCGGCGGGCGGCTGCTCGGCGCCGTTGCAGGGCGGGCCGGCGCCGTCCTGCCCGTTGCTCTCCAGGGAGGACTCGCTGCCCGTGCTCTCGCCCGAGAGCAGCCGCCGGACGCGGAGGTCGGCGCGCAGCGAGCGCAGGTCGTTGCCCAGGCTGAGCTCGCCCAGGTCGTGGAGCAGCTGGCCCAGCTCGGGGGCCTCGCCGCGGCTGGCGCCCTCGGGCTCGCCCAGCGCCTCCAGGATGTCCTCGCAGTCGCAGTGCATGGCCCGCTCCTCCTGCTCCTCGCCCAGCAGGTCCTCGGTGATGGAGCCCAGCTTGGGCGCGCTGCGGCTCCGCTCCACCGGTGGCTTGTAGCAGCACTGCCCGTTGAGCAGCTTGCGCAGCGGCACCAGCGGGATGCTCTGCTCGCCCACCAGCTGCTGCTGCTGGTGCCGCGCATCGTCCCGCTTCTTCAGCCGGCGGAACTCGGCCAGTGCCGTGGCCGAGGTCTGGTAGAGCAGCAGGGCCATGGCTTTCGCCTTCTCTGGCTTGGAGACGAGCACGGCGTGGCAGCGCAGCATCACCGCCTTGTGCTTCAGCTCGTGGCGGTAGATCCAGGCGAAGACGCGTGGCAGCCGCGGGTCGGCCACGCAGTAGGTGACCCGGTGCAGCAGGTAGAGGTGGCCGGGTCGGCGCAGCCCCTTGTCCTCAGCGTGGGCCATGCGGATGCCCTGCGCGCTGATGGTCAGCTTCATCTTGGTGCCCTGCCGGCCCGCCTCGCTCTTGCTCCAGATCTTGCAGACGGCCAGGTCGGTGCAGCCCTCGCCCTTGGACTGGATGGTGGTGGCGTTGCCCAGGTAGAGCACGGTGTACGTGGGGTCCTCGCTGGTCACGCGGAATTTCCTCCGCTTRGAGCGGAACATGCTGCCCACGCGGTGCAGGGCGCTCTCGGGGCAGGCGCGGGCGAGCGAGGTGAGCGCCGAGTAGTGCGCGCTCAGCGCGTAGCCCTTGGGCTTGCTCTGCCGCCGCGCCTCGCCCTCGATCAGCTCGAACTTGCTCCTCTTCCAGGGCAGCATCGCCCCGCGGGGCCGCGGCTACGCGCCGCGGGGCCGGGCTCGGCTGCGGGCCGCGGGGCTCATGCCACGGCAGCGGCGGCTGCGCGGCCGCCCGCCTCACATCCTTGCGGGCGGCGGGGCC